CACCCAACGCTAACGCTGCCTATACGAACTCTACATTTCTAACAACACTTTGAAGTTGCTCTTTAAACCTTCTTTGTTACAATACTATTTATCTGTTTCCATTTTAAGAAATATGCTGTTTTAGACTGTAACTGACACTCTTCTACTACAAGATACTACTACTATGATTCTTGGACACAGTCAATCGTGTATTAAGCCTTACAAAGCTGCATGTCCTTTTCCAAACATCCTGTGCTTCCACATTTTAGGAAAATGTTGAGTTTCTTGGGTTGTTACGAGGTGCAAATTCTGTATATGTGCCTTCTGCTTTGCTAGTGCTTTGTTTCAGGGTGGCAATTTACTTTTCAAACAGTCCTTTTAGCTGAAAGATCCTCAACCCTTTTGAGGCTGCAGGCACCACTGGAATTTTGACAAAGTGTCATGGCCACCACACAAAAATGGCTGCCACAGGAGTTGGAACCAGCCACAAAAATTTCAGAGACAGGGTTATCTATAACTCTTCATAATGACAGCCACTGTGGTATAGGGATTAAAATGTCAGATTAGAATCCGGGAGACCCAGGTTTGAATCCCCAGTCTGCCAAGGAAAGTTGCTGGGTGACCCTATGCCACTCATATGGTTACTTTGAGGATAGAATGAAGAATACAAGACTGCTGTAAGCCACTTTGGGTCCCCATCGGGGAGAAAAACAGGTTACTTACCTGTAACTGATGATCTTTGAGTGGTCCTCTGTGCAGTACCCCACTCGGGTTGGACAACTGCGCACAACCGCATCCGGAGAATATTCTAGAGCTAGCCTCAGAAGTTTTTGGCAAGCTCTCTCTCCCACTCTGGAGAGAAGACACACACTGCACATGCCTGGAGTGAAGAAGAGAGCCACCTCCCACTCAGTTCCTCCAACTGCTACTGGTAAGCCTTGACAAGAGGGTAGTGACTGAGAGATGCCAGCAGTGGGGAAGGCGGGGCGGGTTTGTGGTACTAAACAGAGAACCACTCAAAGATCATCAGTTATGGGTAAGCACCCTGTTTATCTTCACCATGGTTTCTGTGCAGTTCCACACTTGGATAACTGAAAAGCTGAACCCACTGAAGGATGGTGCTGGCAAGAAAAAAAAGGAAGTGAGTAATCAAAATATGTTACCTTACAGGCCTAACCAAGAACTGGGAGGGTTGATCTCAAGAGAAGATGGACTGAAGAACTGCCTGGCCAAATGCAGCATCCCGTCGAGCTCAAACAGCAAGTGTGTAGTGGGACATGAATATTGATGGAGAGAACTACATGGCATCCACACAGATGTAATCGAGTAGGATACCAGCCAAGAAGGCCATGGATGTCGAAACAGCCCTGGTGGAGTGGGCTCGGACAGAAGCAGGCAGGGGCTGCTTCAACAGTTCATAACAGAGAGAAATGGTCAAAGTGACCCACTTAGCCAGTCTTTGTGGTTCATAACAGAGATAAATGGTCAAAGTGACCCACTTTGCCATAATAATTGCAACAGAGATCTGTTATAGCTAGTAGTTCAAAGGGGCAATGCAAAAACTGGGACAAAACCAACAAAATACTCCAGGGAGGTACCACGTTCTTCATCAGCGGACAGACATGGAGAAGACCGTTTAAGAAGGATTTGGTGAATTGATGGGAGAAGACCGTGGAACCCTCAATCAGACAGCAGTTCGCCAAAGTTTTTGCCAGATGCACCTTCTTCGAGGAAAGAGAGGCCCCGCATCCTGTCATGGGCGTGGATGAGGGAGAGCTGACAGAGCTGCAAGAAGGAACCACAGCTTGCCCCTCTGAAGCAGCAGAGGAGGGTAGCTGGCAGTTGCCTGTAACAGCATTCTTCACACCTGGCCCAGATAAGGGGGAAGAACTGCAAGCTAAAAGCCCTCCTGACTCACCCCCACATGTGACTCGTTTCAGGGAGCGACTGCGGCAAAACTTAGCAACCAGGCGACAAGAGGCCAGGCTACAGGGAAGACGTTCGGCTAGCCCAGAGTTCTAATAGCGATCGTGCGGCTAGCTAATTGGTAATAGCATTTAACTCCACACTCTGGGCAGTACTCTTTGTGGAAGCAACAAGTCAGCTTTGTGCTGCTTACATCCACTTTGGATCAGCTCTTGCACTTAGACCTTCGGACTCCCTGGCTTTGGACTTGGATCTACGTTCCTGGCTCCTCACCCCGGCTTGGCTTTTGGGACTACGCTTCTGGTTAGTGATTTTGAATTTGGCTCTGTGTTTCTGGCTCCCGACCCCAGCTTGGCTTTGGACTTCGCACTGTCTTTTTGGCTCCTGACCTTGGTCTGTTCTGGACTCCCTTTGACTGGCACTCCAGCCTGTGACACATCCCATAAGAAGACCAAATTGGAAAAAATGTCTGAGAAGGATGACGAAATGGGATTGAAGATGTGGAGAGAAGCACAGATTGAAAAATGAGACAATTTCACTGAATATGTGCAATGAGTAGATAATTTTCAAGAGTTCAGAAAAATTTCATGGACTGCAAGAGAAAAATTCACTGAAGAATAATCCAGGCTGTCAATTTGAAGAACCCTGGATTATGATGCAGCACCTGGCCTTGATCCCAAGAAAGAAGGTCTGGCACTGGAGAAAGGGGTAGGAAGGTCCTCCTGATGAGATGGAGCAGGTGAGGAAACCAAAGCTGTCTTGGCCACCAGAGAGTGATCCAAATGCGAGAAGTTTCGTTGTGAAGAATTTTCTGCAGTACTCGGAGAATCAGTGGGAACAGGGGGAAGAAGTAGTAGAGAGTTCTGGTCCACTGGTGGTGACTGAAGAACTGGAGGCATTTGGGATTGCCTGCAGCTGAAAAGCCATCAATCAATGAACAGTTGAACTGCCAAAAAATCAGATGATATAATGAAAATTTAGGCTCAACTCAGTCTTGGGGCAGCCAAGGGGCTCAGAAAATCTGCCTAGACATTGAGGGTGCCAGGGACATGTATCACTGGAAGAGTCACATTGTAGAGCAGGCACCACTCCCACAAGGCAATCACTCTTTTGAACAAGGTCCGGGAGCCAGTTCCCCCCTGCTTGTTGATGTAAAAAAACATAGCAATGTTATCGGATGCAACCTGTACTACCCTGTTGGCAAGATGTGAGCCAAAAGATCGGAGAGCACAATGTACTGCCACAAGTTCTAGGCAAGTGATGTGAAGCCTGGTTTCAACAGGGGACCATCTGCTGCTCACTGAGAGGTTCTTGTACTGGGCTTCCCAACCCCAGAGTGAAGCATCCAGAGAGAAGAGTCTGAGTCTGGGGGTGTCAAAATGGCATGCCACGTAGAAGGGTCTCCTCAATGGTCCACCACCAACAAAGAGGTTCCAAAACGGTGGAAGGGAGAGTAAGCATTCTCCAGGGACTGGGAATGCGGGTGGAAGGACCAAAGGAACCACAATTGAAGAGGATGCATGTGGAGACAAGCAAGTGGAACCACAAAGCACTGATGCAAAGAAGCTGAGGAGCTTCATGATCGACCTTGCTGACTGAACAAGAGAGGCCAGAAAGGTGTTGATCAGTGCAAGTGTGGATTACGCTCAAGACCGGGGAAGAAATCCCTCTCCTGATGTGTATCTAGGAGCACCACAATAAACTACAGGGTTTGAATCAGCTGAAGAGAGGATTTCTTAGGATTCATGCAAAGCCCCAAGCAAGCTAGAAGATTCAGCATGAGTTTCACATCGATCTGTACTTGTGACATCAAGGGGGTAACTACAAGCCAGTCGTCGATGTAAGGGTAGAGCACTACCCCCCCACACACCAATGGAGCTCCACTGCCACTATCTCCATGCTCTTGGTGAAAATGTGGAGCACCATTGAAAGTCCAAAAGGAAGAACTCTGTACTGGAAGTGGTTGTTTCCAATTGCGAACCGTAGGAAGTGTCGATGTTGACGACAAATGGTTATGTGAAAACAGGCATTGTGTAGGTCTACAGACACCATCCACCTTTTTTTTGGTAGAAGGGGGAGGATAGCCTGGAGTGTAATGTGGAATTTCATGTATTTGACAAAGGAGTTCAGATCACAGAGATCCATGATGCCACCATCTTGTTTGGGGATTGTGAAATATTTGGAGTAGAAGGCAAGAGTTCATGTTGTGGTCGAGATTGGTTTGATGTCACCCTTCGCTAAAAGGGCTTCAACCTCCTGGATGAGAAACCGGTGTAACCATGAAATGAGGGAGGATGGGATTGGCAAAACAAACTCTATGGCGTACCCCACCTGGATTATGGTAAGGGCCCAGCGATCCATTGTGATGGCTTCCCAAGCTGGTAGACAGGGAAGATGTCTGGTGCCCATTGGTAGGGTGATGGCAAGAGGAGGAGGCGGTGACCGAGCAAGCAGATCAAACTGACTGCTTGTATTGCGGAGTATGCTTTGTGGTAGGAGTTTTAGACTAAGCAGAGTGGGAAGGTTTGTTATGGAAGGACCTCCATCTCCAAGAATCTTGTGAAGGAGAGTGATGGTGCTTAGAGAATGCAGGGCGCTGGGTGGACTGCTGAGAGACCCCTAGGTTTTGAGCTTTTTTGCAGCAGTCATCCACTGCATTCAGGGTCTCATCAGTGGTAGAATGAAAAGGGCCCTCCTCCATCAAATGGGAGATCCTCAAGCTTTGATTTGACATCTGGTTGTAGAGACATGGAATGCTACCTGACGTGCTGCCGAAGATCTACGGAGGTTAATTAAAGTCTTTGAGAAACACCCAACAGCATGACAAATAGAGTTAATTTGCTGTTTAGAGATGGCACAGACCTCTGAAAGAGTCTCTGATAAAGTAGGATGGATGTCTTCTGGTACGGAATCCAGGATAGGGCAAACTGCAGAAGTCACATTAAAGGTAGGATAAATAGGATAGGTAGGATAAAGAGGTAGGATAAATAACTGTGAATGCGGACAGTCATAGATTGCAAAGTTGTGGACAGTTGGGTGATGAGTTCCAGGTAAGATTTGGGACCCTCTGTAGGAGAAAGAGAACCCTGTCAAACCACATCATCCCCTGGTGGAGTGATGTCAAGATCCTCATCACCCGAGGCAGAGTAGTAAGAGTTGGCTGCAGAAGAGGATGTCAAGGACTGAGGAGACGCTTGTGCTTCATGGACCAAAAGTTTCACTGTTGAAGCATCCACCAGTAGGTCAGATATGTTATGAAGAGATGATAAAGGCTGAGATGGTTGTAAGGGAGCCACAGAAATTTCAGTAGCAGGAGGTCCCAGTGCAATCGAGTGAGCAGAGGAGCAGGAACGAGACCTCCTACTTTGAGAGCAGTAGTACTGGGAAGAATGGTCGAAGTGTCAACCATTATCAGAGCTGGGTGAACAAGAGCAAGATCTCCTTCAATAGTACCCCCTTTGACAAAATGAAGATCAAGACCGACGGGCTGAAGGAGAGGGCAAGTGATGATAGTCATGCCCCCAGTATCGAGAAGATGAACTATCCCAACAATGACAATCCCCGCAGTCCAGTAATTGAGAAGGCGGACGAGAGTCTCAAGAAGGCAACCATTGCCGGTAATTTGGCCTGGCATAGAGAGATGCATGCCTTACTGAAGTCAAGCAAGAGGGAACTAGAAGCATCTGCTGCCCTGGTGGAAGTCGGTCTGTGCACAAGGATAAGACCTGCGTCAAGACAGCAGGGTGTTCCTCAAGAGGCAGGGCAGATTCAGTAGATACAGAAGCCGGTCTTGCTACCAGAGTTGAGGTGGAGAGCCCAGATATGATGAGATCCATCATCGACAAAGTATGAGGCACCTCTTGCTTCGATTGTTTTCACTTTTGAAGTAATAGTGCTGGAATCATGCTTCTTAGTCAATGCTTCAGGGACTTGGTTTATGCTTCTTAGTCAATGAAGACTTGGTGGAGACCGTAGCAGTAACAGAGTCCCCTTTCTTTTGCGCGGGTGTCGGAGTCGAATGAGACTTACAGTGGACATTCCGGAATGTAGCGCAGATTCAAGAAGGACGAGCAGAATGATTCCTTCAGGCTTGTCGGGTAAATTTTGCACAGTGCTGGGAAACGTTGACACAGTGTTTTTCACCCAGAAAAAGCAAACACAAATCATGCCTACCGTTAGAAGGAATTTTATAAGCACAACACAGACACCTTTAAAAAGAGCATACGGCTCATGCACACATGCTCCCAACCAGGGATAAAGGGATGGAAGAGGGTGTGAGATAAAAGAAAGAAACACAGTATGAGAAAATTCTGTTGTTGTTTTTTTTAGACAAGGAACAATGAAGGAAGAAGAAACAAAGAACAATACAATTCGCTGAGGCGAAGCAGGAGACAAGGTGGGAACACAAGGGCAGTTGAAAAGTTATTGAGTGGGAGGTGGCTCTCTCCAGGCAAACATAGTGCACACCTGCTCCCCAGAGTGGGAGAGGGAGACTGCCAAAACCTTCTGAGGCTAGCTCTAGAATATTCTCTGGATGAGGTCGTGCGCAGACGCCTAACCAAAGTGTGGGACTGCACAGAGACCATGAAGAAGATAAGTAAAGTACAAATGAAGTAAATAAACAGATTAACATTTCAGGCAAAGGTCTTTTGAAGTACTGTTCAACAGGAGGCCAAGCCCATGCTTTGCTAGTGAGCTATGCACCCTTTCTATGTGCCATAGACTTTCCAAAATGATGATCTCAACAGAAGTTCAAGTTCGGTGCACTGAGTGCGGTTCAATCCTGTTTAGTTAGAAGCTAACCCCACTGTGTTTTTAGTATATCATTTCAGTGCTGGAGGTAGGTCACTTTTTAATATAAAGCTGCTATAAGCATCCCACTGTAAATATCAAAAACTCAAACCAGATCTGCTCCATGAGATAATATGATGAAGATGATACCTACAAAAGTACTATACATTGGCATATAATGGGGGAAGCCTAGAAGGGGGATTTTTTCACTCACACTCACAGATGCATCCCAGACATGGGGGGGCGGGCAGACACACATATACACAGGAAGCCCAACTGAGGGTAGATATATGGAATAAAAAATACACAGAGAAGAAACTCAAGGGGGAGAAGGGATTCTCACACACAAATACAGACAAGAGTGGAAATTTTAAAAACCACAAGCACACTGAGGAAGCACAAGAGAGGGGAGGGAGAAGAACACACAGAGAGGAAAGGATAAAGAGGAAGAAGAACCCTGTATGAAAGTCTAATGTGGAGGAAGAAGGAAAATCCCAATGATGATGGATACAAAAAAGAGAGGGAAGGCGGCTTTATAACTAAATGCAAGTGCTCATTTGTGGGAGTTTCAATCATTCTCTTGAAGTTATGTGAGGCTTACTTGTGGAAAGCCACATCAGCAATACTCAATGAAATACAGTCGTCTATTAAACATCAAGTCACTTTCCCATACTAAGACTAGACTACATAACATTTTTCAATTTCCAATACTCAAAACACTTTTATTGCCATTATTTTAATTACTGCAGACTGTGACAGCAGCCATGAAATTAAAAGACGCCTGCTCCTTGGGAGGAAAGCGAAGGCGATAAAATGTAGCATGATAAAAAGTAGAGACATCACCCTGCCAACAAAAGTCCGCATGGTCAAAGCAATGGTATTACCAGTAGTCATGTATGGCTGCAAGAGTTGGACTATAAGGAAGGCCGAGCGCCGAAGAATAGATTCTTTTGAACTATGGTGCTGGAGAAGACTCTTGAGAGTCCCTTGGACTGCAAGAAGATCAAATCAGTCAATCCCAAAAGAAATCAACCCTGACTGTTCCCTGGAAGGCCAGATAATGAAACTGAAGCTCAAATACTTTGGCCACCAAATGAGAAGGGAGCACTCCCTGGAGAAGACCCTGATGCTGGGAAAGATTGAAGGTCAAATAAGACGAGGATGGCAAAGGATGAGATGGTTAGACAGTGTCATAGATGCAACGAACATGAAATTGAGCCAACTTCAGAGGACGGCGGAAGATAGGAAAGCCTGGTGTGATCTGGTCCATGGGGTCGCAAAGAGTCGGACTCGACTGTGCGACTGAACAACAACAACAATTTACAATTAAACAGAAACCAGACATGATATTCTGTCCTGGAATCCATATATTTCTGCAGTTTGTTTTTAGAACTGTGGAGTGGCAGTGGCTCAGTAGGAAAATAGTAGAAAACCCCTCCAGTGTCAAGTGTTGGTTACATGTCCCGGGATAGAGCCTCAAAACAGAGCAAGAGGAGGGAGTTTCTTTTCACCCAATTTCCCCACTCTGTTCTGCCAATTACCTATTCCCAACTGCTAGGGAATGAGCCTGCATCCCCCCCCCCGCTATTCCTGGGCACACCTTTTAAATGCTTCCCCCAAGGGAGGACCAACCATGTGCTCAGCCAGTCCTCTCTTCCCAACCCAGTCCTGGGGAATGACAGGCCCCTGGGCCAAAAGATACTTGTCTTGGATTAGTGAGTTCACTGACCCTTCCCCCAAAGTCTTTAAAGAGCTGGCTGCCTCACCCAACCTCCTCTAAGAAGGTCAGGGCTGCTTGCTGTTTCTGCCCCGTCAGAGCTGCCCTGGGTCTTAGTACCAGGGTTCCCTCTGGCAGAAACTTGGCCTCTGTCGGCTATTGCTGCTGAGAGTTGGCTGGGCTCCTTTAAGCTGGCTGACTCCTGAGTAGACTCCATCAAGGCCACACCCTGCTGCAACTTGATAGGCAACTTTCCCAGCTCTGGGGCTTGCTCGTGCAGTATGCACCCTTGGTGGGCTTGCAATCCCCTGGGATAAGTATGGGGGTGACAGCACTGACCCCGAATATGTAGGTATCAACTTGCTTTACAGCATTGTCTTACCCCTTTGTAATTCCATTTTCTGTATTATTTACAACATACCTTGCTTTAGCCAGTATGTTGCCTGCATTGTTTTCTAATTCTGTAATCCTAGTCATATTATATTTTTCATTGGTTGATCAATTGATGTAGAAATTGCCAAATCACTATAGTTTAGTCCCTTCCACCCTGGCCACCAAAAGTTAAGCATTTTTACACTATCATGCTTCTTAAAAGTATTCAAGTTCAGGTTTAGTTCGGATTTATCTGAATCTGTGGAACTCCAAGAAGGCATTTTAGAGACTACCAACTTTTATTCTCACGTAAGGTTTCATGACCAGAGCTCACTTCCTTATATGAATGAAGTGTACATCCATAAGGTTAATGAATTTATATTAAAAGGCCGCAAACAAAAAATGGGGGAGGTTGTTACAGAGAGTGGCCAGTTTAAAACAAGGTCCAATCAAAATAATAATCAATTTTTTCACAGTGGCTGAGAACCACTCTCAGCTGTTGATAAATTGGCAAGGCTATATCAACATAAAACCTGATGTAGGAAATTGCAGGACAAAACATGAAAAGTAGATCCAATTAGAAAGCTTATATGATTATAGGCTAAAGTAATAACCATATGAATAACCATACAGGCTAAACTAACAACTATATGAAAGATGCAACAGATTAGCACCTATAATGAGAAATCTCATGTCCCTGTTAAGACAAGGATGTGTGACAAGGGTGTGATGAATTCTAATTCAACAGTTTCTCAATTCTCCCTCTAAAGTTCTTTTGTAGGAGAACAGTCACTTTTCAATCATCAACAGAATGTCCTGGAAGATCAAAATATTCAACCACTAGTTTCTGAATACTGTGATATTAATGTCAAATTTAGTTTTGGATGGTAGACAAGTTGTTAAGCAGTAGAATAGCTAGATTCCAGTCCAGGAGCACCTTAGAGCAGGGGTGTCAAACATAAGGCCCAGCGGCTGGAACCGGCCCACCCAGGGCTCTTATGCAGCCCACAAGCAACCAGTGCAAGAGAGGGAGCAGGAGACTGCTTGAGGCAGAATGGGCAGAGCCACTCCGATTGTGGCATCAGCATGGTGTAACAACCTCATCTGCAGCAGTCAAGCAGCGTGGGAGTTATCTGCCCAGTGCTGCGCTGCTGGCCCTCTAGTCTGCCCATAGAGTTTTCCTCTGCATCCCCCTCCCAGTCCATGAGGCCTTGCAGCGAGGATACATCAACTCAGAGCTTACCAGCTGCTGTCTTTTATACAGTTTATGTCTCTGGTATCTGGCATTGCATTTTATGGCAAATATGGCCTAGCCAGACAAAGTGACATTTATGTCAGATCCAGCCCACATGACAAATGGGTTCAACACCTCTGCCTTAGAGACTAATAAGATGGGGGGTATGACCTTTTGGGAGTCAAAACTCTGACAAAGAGAGCTTTGATTCTTGAAAGCTCATACCCCCAAAATCTTATTGGTCTCTGAAGTGCTACTGGACTTGAATCTAAGTGTCAAATTTGTCTCAATTTAACTTTTTTTTTTTTTTTTGGTAGGGATTGATCTGTTTGTCCAATGTAAAGAGTAGAAGGGCGCTGCTGACCCATGAATAGATTGCACCTAGCAATATCATCAATATATC